ACCGCTCTGCCTGGCATTGCCTCCTTGCCACGGCGCAAACATGGAGCCTTTCCTGAGAGTGCTCTTGCAACATGGCGCCAACGTGAACCAACCTTACCGCGGGCAGTCGCCTCTGGCCTACTTGCTTACAAGGCCTTCTTCTTCGGAGACTTTCCTCGCCGCTTGGCTTCTTCTCGACCATGGCGCTCGAGTGGAGTTCACCACAGCAGATTGCCGCCCCTTTGGCATTTTCCCTTCGATATCAGAGCCTTGCACTCAGGCGCTAGATGGTCGATGTCTTCGTCGCCATATTTCTATTGAGATACTGAAACTGCTTCTCCCCCACACGGAGTCCATCGATCTGCAGGCTTTGGGAGAAAACCTGTGCCAGTTTGACCAGGACCATCGCGATTTCTGGCAGAGCGTATCCTCGCGTCCCCACATCATCTACCAACCCGACTGACGCCAAACTGCCTCCCTAGGTGACAGAGATCCAGCTTTGGTGAGATTGTAGAAGAAAGTAGAAGAGACATTTATCACTTCTGGCGGCTGTGGGATACTTCAAAGTATAGCGCGCCATCTGGTATAAAAAAATTGAACTATTTTTGACGTGTATTATTCTTTTAAAAATAAATCCATTTTCTACTATCCTTACTGTAATGAGGCCCTCCCATCATTCTATCATTGAAGTAAGGGAAGTAGAAATTTGATTTATTTTAAAAATAATAATGCGCGTCAAAAAAAGTTCAAATGTCTTACTCCAACGTATATTACACGTTAGAACACCTCCTGCCATTATATGTTTGTGATAACGTAGAGAACCTCCTTCACACAAGCCCCAATCCTCCTCTAAGAACCTATACTTGTCCGACACCCAATCTATTTGTAAATATAACTCTTCAGCATTCCATCTCTTTCTGTTAATCATTTGTAAAAAAACATTCGTTCATTGCCTTAAATGTCTTTGAAATAATTTATTATTTGCTTTCTCTTCAACACTCAAAACAGAAACCTAAGGCGATCACACTTGGAATATTCCAAACCCAAATGGGCATTTTAGAGAGAGCAGTTGCTTCAGAGAAAAGTGTATAATTTTGGAATAATTATTAATTCATAGATTAGTTTTTTTTTAATGCCCCATTGTATAAATATACAAGGTCATGGAGACTAAATGTATTCATAAAGTAGTAGATAATTTAGGCTGGTTGTTTTAGAAAAATAAATATGTTAGAGATGGTAATCGCTTTAGAGAAACGTGGACATTTTAAGGAGGATATAGAATGTCTATAGAAGAGTCTATAGAAAGTTTTATTTCTTAGAGAAAATTATATACTTTATGGACATGGAGGTTGGTCACTTCAGGAGGATTAAATGCAGTGAAAATCAGAAAGCACAGTTAATCAGACAAAGTGAAAGACTACTAGGTATTTTCTATTAAAATAAAGATCAACTCCCCCGTTAAAATAGACTCCATTTATTGACCGTCGCTGCGAACTAGCGGCTTCGGGTCGGTGACAAAGCCATAACACCAGCCTTGGTAAACTGAGAAACGCCTACCTGGACACCATGGTTTCAGACTATTGGCCTCGTCAGCCCAGGACGGACTTTATTCCATGAGATCCACACAGGATCTAATGGAATCTTCACAATTTTCCAAAGAGGTGTTTAGCTGACAAAGTGACTGGGCCAAATCTATGGCTAAAATAAAGATGGAAATGTCGACGGGAAGATATTGATCTATGAATTGATCAATTATTTTTTATAGATCAAGGTGTCCTCCGGGCAAATTTTCCATCTACTAGTCCATTTCTTTTTTGAATTAAAAATTAAATTTTAAAATTTCATTAAATCACTGTTTTTGGAGTGATTTATTGCCCTTTGCTCATTTATTCTCTTTCATTCCTACCTAGCGTTGCCTGGTAACGCATCCTTTCTTCCCCGTTGCCAACGTGACAAGCAACAAAGGATTCTCGCCGATTCAGACTTTTTTTTTAATTTCTTTTAAGATGCTTATTTTCCAGTACAGTTCCAAAGTAACTTTATTAGGTGCCGCTCAAAAAGAGTAACCTAGTTTATGTTATATACAAGTACTTATACTGTACATTGTATTACTGTATACTTATACATTGTATTACTGTATACTTCTACATTGTATTACTGTATACTTGTACATTGTATTACTGTATACTTGTACATTGTATTATTGGATACTTGTACGTTGTATTACTGTATACTTGTACATTGTATTACTGTATACTTGTACATTGTATTACTGTATACTTGTACATTGTATTACTGTATACTTGTACATTGTATTATTGGATACTTGTACGTTGTATTACTGTATACTTGTACATTGTATTACTGTATACTTGTACATTGTATTATTGGATACTTGTACATTGTATTACTGTATACTTGTACATTGTATTACTGTATACTTGTACATTGTATTATTGGATACTTGTACATTGTATTACTGTATACTTGTACATTGTATTATTGGATACTTGTACATTGTATTACTGTATACTTGTACATTGTATTATTGGATACTTGTACGTTGTATTATTGGATACTTGTACATTGTATTACTGTATACTTGTACATTGTATTACTGTATACTTGTACATTGTATTACTGTATACTTGTACATTGTATTACTGTATACTTGTACATTGTATTACTGTATACTTGTACATTGTATTACTGTATACTTGTACATTGTGTTACTGTATACTTGTACATTGTATTACTGTATACTTGTACATTGTATTACTGTATACTTGTACATTGTATTACTGCATACTTGTACATTGAAAAAATTGTACAGGTTTTTCACGTATACAGTGTCTTTACAAGGTTAGAGTTTTGTGCGGGGTCTGGAATTCGTAGTATTCTTTAAGATGGAAGATGCTCATTTTCTTGTTCCAAAATCACTTTACTAGGTACCGCTCAAAAAGAGCAACCTAGTTTATGATATTTGCAACAATGAATAATATTTAAAGGTTATTCACATATTAAAACAAAGTGTCCAATGGGGGATTCAATCCCGGTTCATGGCTGTCGGGAATCGAAGATTGTAATCACTCGTCCACCGACTTTTGATGCTTTTTTTTAAATCGAGATAAAAGCGTTTAAATGGCTAATAGCAAAATTGTATGTTTATTTTGTATTATGAAAATGTCGAACGAAAACATTTTAAATACAACTTTACAATTCTATTTGGAGGTTTTCTAAAATTTCTCTGTCACATTTTAATATTCTTCTATCTGAAAAATAATATTTGTTTGCCTTTATGAATAATGGTGTAATCCATGTTGAATTTCTCTTACCTTTGTGACATAGCTAAATTATTAAATTAATACAACAGGTTTCTCTGAGTTTCTTTTCATTTTTATTAATGTAATATTTCGGTCATCTTCTGCCCTTCTATAGCTTGATAGCTTATAGAAAGACCGAAAGCTTGACAAGATTATATCGCTTTAACAAATAATCTCGTAGGCTTTTATTCCTTCTTAGAATCCTATATGCCACTTGATTATGACAAAGGAATTAGTTCAGAAGGCACAAATCAAGCTAGACAGTTAGATTATGAGGTAAATCTCTAATATTCCACGTGGCACTATTGACCCCCTAGCCTCAAGGAATGGGGTAGAGTATTCTTCTTCTTTCTTATCTCCACTCAATCATATTAGGATATCATGTTGTGACCCTTGTGGTGTCTATTTGACAACCATCATGACTGGGTGAAGTAGAATGTGTCTGCCTTTGTCATTAAGACTGGGAGCACTAATCAGTGGCAGGCTGACTTAGCTTCAAAAGAAATGGCCGCCTCTGACATGAGGAACAGACGCCATGTGCAGCTGCTCCTAACATGGAGTACAAAAGTTGCTCATCCTGTATCCCTGGAGTCCTTACAGGGTACTATCAGCTGGGCCAGCTGGGCCCAGGTTTTTTAGCGAGCTTGTTACTGCTCCCCCTCCTCCTTTTTCATCCGGGCTTGGGACCGGCAAAGGAGAATGGGGTAGAGTGAGGAAAGGGGACGGATGGTGGATAGAACTCTGACACAGAGAGAGATAACCATGATATTGTTAAGTCTTTTATCTGAATAGAAGGAATTCTTTTCTAATTGATTCTATATTAAAGATTTAATTTTATTCTGCAACATCCGCCCAGAATTTGGACCTGCAGAACGACGTTTGACAATTATCCCGCAAATGTTTCTTTTGATCGAAAAATCGAAATTCATTTTAAGGAGAAATAACGGTTATTTGTAACCTTAGGGATGAATCCTGGCTGCCTGGCCGGCATTCATATTTCTGTGAAAAATAGACACTTCGGCCAGTTAGAGTTTTTTATTTTTTTTCTCAACGTTTCAACAAAAATCTTTTGTCTTCGTCAGGAGAAGCAAATAAAGCATTTAACAAGTATGAATGGATGAAGTATGAAAGGATGACTTGTGAAGAGTAATGGTCCCCATCCGGGGACTTTTCCATCTGAAGAAGGTTTAGTGAGGGATCTGGTAAGGAGAGTAAGTCAAGTCCCGGATATGTACAGTGATACTGTAGTGATCAGATAGTTAAAGTAAGGTTATGAAAGTGAACATTCGAGTTATAATACGGTTACATGGGCAGCCAGGGGAATGATGGGAGGGTTTAATTATCCACACACAAGCCTTTATTAAGACATTCCATCTTATACAGACGATTCTCCTGTTAGAAATGAATCTAAAAAAATGAGAAGCAGGGGAAGAACTTGAATCCTCGCTCAGAAAAAAAGAAAAAGAAGAAAAGGAAAGAATATCTATGTGGGTTCAATTATTTTATTCATTTCTATTTATTTATCATTGTCATTTTTATTGTCATTAATTTTATTCAGCATAGTCGTTTACACCTCTTTTATTCACATATCTATGATGGTGGAATGGATACTCAGTGATAATGCTACTTTGCTTATTTACACAATTAAATTTATAATTCCGAATATGAATTCCGCTCCGTTACGAACGGAAAAATATGTCCAGGGTAGCCGAGTGGACATGGCATCTGCCCGGTAAGCGGAACACTGTGGGTTCGATTCCCATCCCTGGACACTTTTATTTTTCCGTTTATCATTACTCTTTACAATTCATCCTTTCATACCTCATTACTAGGGTTGGAAATGGTGGTTATTTCTCCTTGAAATAAATTTGGATTTTTCGTTGAAAAGAAACACATGCGGTATAATTTTAAAATGTCGTTTTACAATCACAAGCCCCATTATATTGTACTAGCGGACCCGGCCACGCCTTGCTGTGGCTAAATTGTAATATGTTAAATTAACATTATACTAAACTATTCAGTACAGTAAAGTCAATATTCACTTATAAAGATAAAAATGTTTTAGCAGATCTAAAGCCCTACGGGATTGAGAATGGAACGTTACGCTAAAATTTGAAAGTGATTTTTATATATATAGATAATATAGCCCTTCATTATAATCATTGATTATAATCACTGCATTAATAAATGTCAGTGAACTCGTTTATATGTATTGTTTTTTGTTTTCGAGATATTCTAATAGAACGTTCTCACATTTTCTGTAAAATATTTATATATGCACAAACACAGAATATAATCACTACGTCTTAATTTCGCTATATTTATTGCTATAAATATTATTCTAAAATAATTCGCCAGAAATCGTCCTGATAGTATACTACACAGCGAACCCGGCCACGCGTTGCAGTGGCTAAATTGTAATATGTTGAATTAACATTATACTAAACTATTCAGTACAGTAAAGTTAATATTCACTAATAAAGATAAAAATGTTTTAGCCGATCTAAAGCCCAACGGGATTGAGAATGGAACGTTACGTTAATATTTGAAAGTGATTTTTATATATATAGACAATATAGCCCTTCATTGTAATCATTGATTATAATCACTGCATTAATAAATGTCAGTCTTCCCAGTATTCTTTTACCTATGTATGGATATTTTGGTTTGAATTAGTGAACTACTGCGAATTTGTAGACGAATGACCCGGGCAACGCCCGGGTTTACACGATTAAATGTATATTACATATGGAAGATGGACGTAGTTCCCGGAGGGCACCCGCGAGGTCACTCTGCCCCCGCGCAACTGTCCAACCGGGAGCGCCCCGCGCCGTCAAAATCGTCACGCGTTCTAGAGGGCGCTGCTCGGCCGTCAGCCGGGAGATCTCATTTACTCGGCGGGGGGGGGGGGGGGGCAGGGAGGTCACGTGCTGCGCCGGCAGCCAATCGTCGCGCGCCGCCATCCCCCGTCTGCCGCGAGAGGGGCGCAGATTGCGAGTGAATTTACGTTTTATTGTAAATAAAAATGCAACGAAAGGTTATTTCTAAAGAGTAATTAGCCAGAAACCATCCCGGTAGTATACTAAACATCTTCCCAAAGTTTCATCACGATTGGTTGAGCGATGTAGAAGATTATCACTGACAAACGGACGGACCAACAAACATCCATTTTTATATATATAGATTATAAATTTAGAATATTTATAACAACTTCACGAATACATAACATATTGTCACAGTAATGAAGGGGACGTAGAATATAAAATAACAATTTATTAGATGACTTTAAATAGTTAAATAGTTTGAGGGATAAAAAGAAATAGAGATAAGCTAAGTTAAATGGATAAAAAATAATGATAAATTAAGGAAATATGTCAAAGACCCAAACCGCTGGCGATCGGCTACACCCCTCAAGATGGCGGCTAATGTTTACAAACTTGCCGCCTAGCGCGCCCGCCACCTATCGGAGCTTAGGTACATAACACTTGCCGAGCTGCCGATGTTTTATTTACGAGCTATGTATATTTTTGGTTATAACATTATGGTATAATAATTAAGAAACCATTTTGTCGACTCCAGAATTTCTCGAGTAGAATTGAATCCAATGATTAGGTTTCCATTTAAGAGAACATTTCCAGCTAAGTATTCATTAATGTGTTTTGAATTGTGTATCGTATCATTATGTTTAGAAATCCAATTTCGTGAAATGGCTGAGAGATATTTAACCTTTTGAAATTAATTTATAAAAGCTTTCAGTATATTATTTTTATTTGTTTATGTAACCCAGGAGCCACGTACAGAAACTACCCGGGCTGACACCGTCTTGGTTTTATTCACAATGTCAGTGGAATTACTGAGGTGGGCAGATTTCTTTCTTGGAAGATTCTCTAGGGATACTGTACTTAGGTTGGTGATCCCTAGGAAGGTGGCCGTCAGGAATCTTTGGTATTGGAAGGTTGGGCAGAGAGGTGAAGTGGTCCACGGTTTGGTCTCCATCTTGGAAATGGGGGCAAGTTGGGTCTTCTTTCAATACCCTTGCAAAGTCTGCCTGGATGTAATCATGGCCAGTCAGAGTTGTTGTTGAGGTAAATCCATGTTTGATGTTTTGAAGTATTGCGAGCAGTAGTTTCGGAGTGCTTTCAGTGTAAAGAATATAATTCCCTTAATAAAAAAATGAATAGAAAAAAAACCTGTCTCAACAAGGAACCTGTTGTATTGCTGAACACGTTGTACTATTTTTACGGTTTTGTTTGACTTTTGTAAATGTTATTTATTATAATCATATCACACGATCACTCTATGATTTATAGTCATAAGCATTACAATTAATTTTAATAACGAACCACTTGATGAGGAAAGAGTTTCTTTAATATACAATATCAAATCACAAGCTTTCGGGCATAATCACCCTTCTACTGGTGTAAAACGAGTTTTACACCAGTAGAAGGGTGATTATGCCCGAAAGCTTGTGATTTGATATTGTATATTAAAGAAACTCTTTCCTCATCAAGTGGTTCGTTATTAAAGTTTAGAGAAGGAATTATTGATTCAATATTACAATTAATGTACCATTATTAGTACCATTATCATTTTGTGTTGGGTATATTGGGAGGTCTTGGCTCATCAGTGGTGAACCCTCCCAGCAGTTTCTCCAATTTTTAATCTACCAGACCGCTTCTTAGAGCTCTAATAATGTATTGGATCATTCTGCTTATACACTGAAGTGTGGAATATTATAAATTTGCTTAAAAACCATTTCAAATATTCTAACCTTCAGTGTAGCATATATAATCAGAATCGTCCAATACAGTATTAGAGCTCTAAGAAGCGGTCTGGTAGATTAAATTGGAGAAACCGCTGAAAGGGTTTACCACTGATGAGCCAAGCCTTCCCAATATTTTTGATCGCAGTAAAGAAAGTAGAAGTTTGTCTTATGTTTAAAAGAAACATAGGTGTTTTAATGCTTTCATTTCTCACAACTAACACTAGATACATTAATCCATATTTTGATAATTTTAATTTTTCTTGGATGAAAATGTGATGAAAACCTATTCTCCCGACTCAACTCTATTAACTGTTCCAGCTTGTTCGGTTCAATATTGAGCAGACAGTATAAGGACAGTATAAGGAACAAACATATATGCATACGTTGACTTATATATACAAGGTATGTCCCATAAGTTCCCGGACTGGGTCCATAAAAAAAAGGTAAGATTTTTTTTTAATTTTTTAATTAAAACTTTTCAAAGTAATCCCCCCTTGCTTCAACGCACCAGCGCCATCGTTTCTCCCAATTGTCGAAACAGTTTTTATAGGCCTCTTTTGGAATGATCTTCAATGCCAGCAGCGATTTTTCTATTATGTCTTCCCTGGTGTCAAAATGTCTTCCTTTTAGAACTGCTTTGAGTTTGGGGAACAGGAAAAAGTCATTTGGTGCGATGTCTGGGGAATAGGGTGGTTGAGGTAGGATTTCTGTCCCGTTTTTCGCCAAAAAACTCGTCACCAAGTGCGCTGTGTGAGGGCGGGCATTGTCATGGTGTAGGATCCAGTCACCATTAGTCCATTTTTCTGGCCTTTTTTTTTTCGAATCGCTTCCCTTAGACGGCGAAGAATGCTCAAATACATTTCCTTAATAACTGTTTGGCCTGCAGGAAGATACTCGTGATGAACAATGTCCTTGTTATCCAAAAAAGCGACCAGCAACACCTTGTTTCTGGATTTCAATATCCTGGATTTTTTGGGTCTAGGCTCACCCTGACCTCTCCACTCGGCAGATTGACGCTTGGTTTCAGGGTCATAGCCATAGGCCCATGTCTCGTCGCCTGTGATTATCTTGTCTTTCCATTCCGGATCCGTTCTTGTCATTTCCAGCATGTCCTCACAGGTTGCAAGCCGACACAGTTTTTGCTCATTAGTGAGGAATCTTGGGATGAATTTTGCAGGAGTCTTTTTGAGCCTCAAATCTTCGGTTACGATCCTTCCAATCGTTGTTTTAGAGATGCCTGTGTCTTGCTCTAGCTCCAGCAAAGTGGTTCGAGGATTTTCTTTTATCAAATCGGTGATTTTTTGCACATTTTCATCAGTCCTTTGAAATGTTGGGCGTCCTTGACGAGGATCATCTTCAATGGAAATTCTGCCAGCTTTAAATCTAGAATGCCATTCAAAAACAGTTGTTCTCTTTGGGGCGTTATTGGGGAATGCTTTATTAAGCATTTCAAAAGTGTCGGTTGCTGATATTTGAAGTTTCACACAAAATTCTATGCAAATCCTCTGCTTCAATTTTTGTTCCATCGTAAAATCGCCGCAGCGCAAGGTGTAACCTTTAAATAAATTAGAATAACTTTGGCGCGCGCGCACGTACCGCCTCGATATTGGTACCACCGTGTTGCCAGATATTTTTTCTATAATAAACTGTCAAATTTATTTACATTTTTCATTTATTTATTTTTTATGGACCCAGTCCGGGAACTTATGGGACATACCTTGTATATGTATAGATACACAAATATCAAGATCAATACAATATTTGAAATTCCATGTTTATTTATAAATATTTTCAAGATAAAATTATTGAAAACATTTTTTCCCGGAAGGAGAAGTTGTGGATTTATTACAGACCCGAGTCAATAGAATTTTAAAATCTCTGGAGATCCTAATTAATAGAATTCGTCTTGTTTTTTAGCCTTATAGAACGGAAATATTGGAATATTTGGCTGATAAGGTGGTGGCTATTGGGAGAATTTTGTATATCCATGTGTGACTTGCCACTTA